AAACCGGGCATTAAAAAAGCTGGTAAGCACTAATACGATTTCGATCCGGATTAAAAGTTGGGTTAACCGCACCAAAACATAAAAAAAAAGTTTAAAAATAAAAATTGGCATGTTAAAATTTTTACGGCGATGGTTATATAATGGCTTTAATAAAAAAAGGAATAAAAAAACCCTAAATTAACGCATAACGAGCACCAAACCACAAATTAACAAAAAGCGCAAAATTAATATACCCATTCCATAACGAAACCATTATGGAAAAAACAAAAAAAAACGATTTTTAAGCTTTTACGCTCAAATATTACCAATACCACCCGAACCAGGAGCAATAACCTTACTTTTGGCAATAAAAATTCCCTTCCCTTTTTTCTCCTGCCTTTTTTGCTTTTTAATAGCAATTGCAAGCATAGCAACGGAATTTTTAAGCTTTATAAGCGCTATAAAATAAAATTAATTATTATTGCTATTATAATCCTTATTTTTTTATTTACATTATCGTTTTAAGCGGAAAAACCTTCGCCTAAAGCTTCGAAAAACGCGGCTTTATAAAAACGAAAAGCGGTTAAGCGCCCCGTTTCGTATCGCTAACCCGAAATTATAATTAAAAAATTAGCATTTGGATTGGCTTGCTTAGCATTAAGCTTAAAAAGCTATTTGGTAATAATGCGCTATTTTTAAAATGTTTACGATTGGAAAAATAACGTTAACGAATTAGTAAAGTACAAAATATATAAAATAAAAATAACATACCGCATTATAAGGTTCGTTGCAAAGCGCTTTCGCAAAAAACTTTATAATAATACGATAAGCGAGCGAAAAATTAGCAATTATTAACGCAAAAAACCCGGAAACGAAAAAAAAAGATTTTTACATGGGTTTGTACGAATAACCAAAAATACAACGCTAGCAACGCTTGCTATTGGAGCTTAATTTTTTAATATAAAATTAGGTTACATTGTTTTTAACGCTAAACTTGCCGTAAAGCACGAAGTTAAAGCAGCTAAAGCAAATTGTCGTTCGATTAGCACTTTTTTTACCGCGTTTACGAACATTGGGACCATTACGGCCATTGCGGGGAACGGCACGCTTTTTTTTGCGACCGATAAAAGCGATTGGAACGGCCGGAACGGGCGCGGGCGAGCTTTTAAGCATAAATTGTAATGCCGGAAACGAAAAAAGCTTGCTAAACTTTTTAACGGGAAAAGGCATAGCTTAAAGGTAAATTGTAAAGCTTTGCTTTAAAACGATACAAGCAGCCAATTGCTAATTTTAAGCTCCTTTTAATAAAACAGCGCTTTCCGGAACGTAATTAAGCGGATTTTAAACGTTCGAACCAGGCAAAAGGTCCATAATGCTGTTAAAAAGGTATAAAGCACAAAATTAAATAAAGGAAAATGAAAAACAATAATACAACGAGCGCACAAATTGCAAACAACAATTCCGGAGCGCACGTGGCCAATTAAATTGGCCTAAAAAACGGGGTTGTAAAAGGAAGAAATTAAAGTAATTGGATCGACGATTAACGGGTTAAATAAGGGCTTACCGCCCTTTGTTCGTTAGCTTTTACCTTTGCTTTTAACGCACCCATTTCTAAACATTACAAAAACTTTCCATTTAATTTACATTAATCCTAAACGCCTATAATTTTAAATTTATTAATTCCGAAGCTTTAAAACCGAAATTTACATAATTCCCCAAACCTTTATTTACGTTTATTATTTAATAGCAATACGCATTCGGCGAAATAATTCGAACAAGCATTTTTTTTTTACATGTTACCCAAATCGCCAATTTAGCAAATTATTTATTATTGCGCATTTAAACCGCAAATTTTTTTTATCCGTTTTACCATGCATGCGCTACCAAAAAAAAAATAGTTAGTATTGGAACTTACTTGTTAAACGTATGCATAGGTTTTAAAAGATCGCTATATATAAATCCGGGATTTATGCACCAACCATCCAAAACTTTTTTGTACTTATATAAAAAGGTTAAATCCGTTCCTTTTTTTTAGCAAGATTTTTTTTTCTTTAAACTTAAATAATAACATTTTAATTTAATTACCTTTTAATAATTATTAAACCTTAATTTTACGCCGTTTGGAAATTTACAAGCATAAAACTTTACCCCAAAGTCCTTTTTATAAAAAAGGTAATAAAGCGTTAAGCAAAGTGGTTCGAAAATTTAACAAAGTACGATTTTACGATTAAATGGAAGCTAAAATACCGGAACCTTGCAAATAGCTTGTTAAAACGTTCCCAGGATATACCCGTGAACGGGAAAGCCAATATAGCAAAAAAAAAATTCCAAAGCAATTTGTTAGCCAAATTCTAAAAAGTAGCTTATATAAAAACGATTACTATTAAAAAAAATATTAAAACGATATTAAAGCGCATTTTCGAAATACAAGCAAAAAACGATTTTTTTTAAAGCGGTATTTGGAAAAACAAATTTAACGTTTAAAAAATTAACAACGGCTTATTTAAGTACAAAAAAAAAGTTTAAATTCCGAATTTAGCACCGTTTAAACGAATAATGCTTTAAAAATAATACGATAGCCTAACGGGGGGTTACAAAAGCATAATTAAAATTTTAAAAAAGTTTAAACGGCAGTTTAAATGGCCGGGTATGGCTAAAAACGTACGCAAATACGTACGAACGTATTAAATATGCCAGTAAATAAAGCCGAAAATACAAATACTTTACGGGTTATTAGCATTTTTGCCCGTACCAAACCGCCCGGAACAAAAGCTATTAATAAATTTTATTAAAAAGTTTTTAATATTAGTAAATGGAATCGGTAAAAAGCGCAATGCAATATTGGTAATGGTTAACCGGTTTATTAAATATAGCTTTTTTATTTTAACGTTTACGAAATTAACCAATAAAAAATTGGGAAACTTTTTATTTGCATACGTTTAAAGGCTGTTAAAAACGCCCGAAAGAATTATATCGAACCAAAATAAACTATTTACAAACGGGTTTTAAATAATTTTCGCCGGATATTTAAGGATTGCAAAAAAGCTATTAATAGCATACCATTTTTAAACCAACGGGCAAACGGAACGAACGAATTAGGTAATAAAGCATTATTTCCGGTGCTTTTGTTACGAAAGGCAAAACGATTGGGCGTTGCTATTGCACCTAGCAGCGTAAGTGCATAATACAAACGTGCATTTGGGGTTGCAAAAAAACCCCGGCGTTTTTGCTAATAAGGTTTTACTTACAAAAGCTTTATAATTTTCGGGTGGTTAAAAAAAAACCTTCGGCAACGGCCGAAATTAAAGCGAAGGCTTTAAAAGCAATTAAAAAGCAAACTAAAAAATTGCTAAAAAAAGCGAATAATACGTACAAAAAGTACTATAACAAAAGCAAAACCCCGGTGCTTTTCGGGGTAAGCAATTAGGTATTGCTAAATACGGCAAACATTAAAATAAAAAGGCCGTTAAAAAAGCTATTAAACAAATGGTTAAAACCTTTTTAAATTTTAAAAATGGTTGGGTTAACCAATTTAGCGTTCCGGTTAAAGCTTTCGGTAAGCTACCAAATATATAACGTATTTCCGGCAAATTTATTGCGGGCGTTTAAAAAAGGCCCGGCGAAAACCAAA